TTTAAACGGCTGGTCAATTTAGCGAGGTTAGGTAACCATACGGTAGGGCGAACACCAAGCGGTTGACTGGAACTTAATGGGTGGTGTTTTTCGCATGCTAATTCCCAATATGTCCAGCTTTTGCTGCAGGGCCACAGAGCGGGATTACGATAGGCTTATGTAGACAGATAACGTAATTGATTGAAACTTGGACTGGCGGTGTTGGATGCGCTGAATGCGGATATAAAATTCATTTTTCACCGCGGAGAGGTAGAGCAAGATTACGGTAGGAATATGATGGTCAAGTCAAGGTCACAAAATATTAGGTTGTCCCATAAGTCTTTTCATTTTTGAGTTTTCGCTGTGATAAGTCATACATTTCCTACTCAAAATAGACATTAGGATATCATTCGATAGAGCAAAGCAAGCTCTATAAGATGGCATTTATGCTTTTGCACCAGCTTCGATCCACCTCAAGTTAGAAATCAGAATCAAAAGTTTCGGAAGAAAAGTCCTACAGATCTCTCACTCGCTCACGCATATACGCTCCACACCAAACAATACGTGCTATTGCCGTATTTTTTTATTAGCTAGAAATCAAAAAACCGAAAATTTCCATGTTTTTACAAAAGTGATGTTGTGCTTTTTTACACTAACGGTTGCATATTACGATTTTATAACTATAACCGCAGTTTTAGCTCGCTATAAGCTATAGTTCCCGAGAAACATCGAATTTAGCTTTCCTCACTCGGATTTTTTATGCTTAATTCAACATTTCTCGCAAACCAAAGCTTATAGGGAGCTAGAAATTTACGGCTGCACTTCTAAGGGCTTGTAGTATAGAACTGTAGTGAAGAACAGCGCAACATCACTTTGGTAAAAACATGGAAATTTTTGGTTTCTTGATTTCTAGCTAATAAAAAAATACGGCAATAGCACGTATTAATGTTTGGTGTAGAGTGTATATGCATGAGAAATGATTGGTGTGGAGTGTATATGCGTGAGCGAGTGAGAGATTAATTTTCTGGGCATCCGAAACTTTTTAGGTTTTGGTTTCAAATTTGAGATTGATCGAAGCTGGTGCAAAAGCATAAACGCCATCTTATAGAGTTTGGCTCTATCGGATGATATCCTAATGTCTATTCTGAATAAGAAATGTATGACTTATCATAAAAACTCAAAAATGAAAAGACTTACGGGACAACCTAATAGATTTAGAATTGGCCCAGTGGCGTTATGCAGTGCGCTGACCACTGTCATACGGGTGCATGGCGTTGGGTACCCAGCCAAGGTGTGAAGACTTCGCACTTATGCTAGGATTTGGTGTATCGTTAGGTACCCGCTGTTGAAGCAACCAAGGGGCGCGACTTAGTGTATACCACTGATGGCTGGGTAACTGACGCCCTCCGCTCGCTGCCTTCAAACGAGCTAGTGAGCTATTCTAGCAGTTGAGAATAGGTGTATCGTTAGGTACACGCTGCCAAAGCAAGTAAGGAACACGGCCTAGCGTATAACACTAATAGACAGCGCGAAAGCTTCGCACCTCGGGTGGGTACCTAACGCCCCTCCCCTCCCCTTCGGTCCTAATTGTTGATTAGGAACAGCAACAGAGCAGCGATAGATGTACAAGTGATCATGGTGTTCCTCAGCTTAGCGTATTTTAGAAGCAGGAGGTTCAGGTGAGAAAACAAGTCGATTAAGTTTTACTGGATTTCTGACTCGAAGTCATAGCCGTCATTTTGTGCCTGTAATGTATTATAGTTCGACAATGTCCTCATAATGATGAAATTTTGAATTGATAAAGGAATTCAATCCCCAATCGGTTGATCTACATATTTGAATAATCACTAGTCGGCGATTGGCATGGGCTTTTATTGTCAACAAAGGCAATTCAAATGCTTTGAGCGGGACAGTGTGACTGATGAGTTTTAAATTCATTAGCTTTAAGCTGAAGGCAATTGCTATTGTCTTCTTTGAATCTTGCCGCACGGATGATTCTCTCTCACAAGCTTCCAGATAGCTTACATATAAAAACAAGATCAATTTATGCAATGGTTGAAACCTGTCAAGTTTGGGATTAATTACTATAGGCAGACCGGTTCGAAAAATCTGTTGCAGTATCGGTACCCGTAAGAGAATGCCGTATAGCTGCTGTGGAATTTTCGGAAATTTCTCCATGCTTTTTTCACCAGAAAAATCAAGGCTCAGGAGAGCAGCACGAAAGCCTTCAGCGAACATGCACTTTTCTTGAACACCGCACTAATAGAGGAAAGTAGATTCGAGCGATCTTATTTTCTGCGTATACACCGTCAAAGTGTGGGAACACTGCTTCAATCAAGACGATTCAAATCTTTAGTTAAAGCCCTTATCATTTTTCAAAGTTCAGTGATAATTTTGCAGCTTTCACACGGTATGAAGGCAGCGAGAAAAGAATGACTTTTCGTTTTGTTGAAACAAACCCGGCACCGACCTTAGTGCAGATCCGAATTCTGGTTTTTGGGTTATAAATTTTGCAATAATGAATCTCTAAGACTTGACACTATCGGAATGCAGCTACTCCCAAACACCTGCACACGATGGAGGTTGGCCTAAAATAGCGAACCTTTGGCAGTGACCTCCGCCCCGGGCAGGAGGAGGTGCAATCTGGGTGTATCCCATTACTTGTGGCTGTCAGTTACGTAGTCACCGCGCGCGGCACGCTGGCAACAATCAGGTATGCAGAGAACTCGGGTAGCTGACTCACAAAGCCATACTGATCCTTTTTTGTAATGGTTTCTACAATGCTACATCAATTTTTTTTTGTTTGATGAAAGTTTGGCTACAAAAAATGTAAAAAAAGGAAGATAGCGAAGGCAAACATGAATTTACTATGTTTCTGATCAGGGAACGCAAACTTTTTGCTCACTGGAATAACTTGACCCCTGAGCATTTCCTCTGGGACTTTTCCACTGACCATACTGCCTCTGGTCGAGGTTACTGTTGCCGCGTCGCGATATTTTCTTATTGACACTCACAAGCAATGGGCGCCCCCGTGCAATCTTCCTCCTTTCCCCTTCCTCTCTTGTATATAGTTTTTATGATAGAGATTACAGTGGAACTAATTAAACCTGCCGCTACACATCAAGTAGAGGCAGAGTCAGTCTTCATCAAGACCGGCAGTCGCAGAGGTGTAGATCAGGGCCGGTATGTATCAATCGCCCGTCCGGGTAAGTTACCCGGACAGGTTGTTTCCGCTTCATAGCGCGGTGCTCTGGGGATCTGCGTTTCTCCTTGTTTGTTTATCTTTAGGAGGCTCTACTACCCTAATATTCTAGCAGAATGAGTAGCAGCACTTTGCTTTGTAAGCTGAGATATTTCGTTATTTGTATGATCCCGAACGGGATCTCCCACTGATCACGCTCATTTTCAAAGTTATCTGTATTCGCAAAAACTCAAAGAAAACGTCATAGAGTTTTGCTGTCGATCTATTACGACAGTACTACGCATGTTTTCAGTAGCACAGATGAAACGGGTAAGTTTTGAGTTCTTCGATAAAGCCCAGCTCGCGAGCGCAGGTTCATCGAAAATTTTGTCAACTTGATTTTCCACTTATTTCTTTCACAAACATGCGTAGCACTGTCGCATTAGATCGACAGCAAAACTCTGTGTCGTTTTCATTGAGTTTTTGCGGATATAAATAACTTAAAAAATGAGCGTGATCAGTGGGAGATCCCGTTCGGGATCATAGAAATAACGAATTATCTCAGCTTATACAACAAAGTGCTGCTACTCATTGTGCTACAACTTTAGGGTAGTAGAGCCTCCTAAGGATGAACAAACAAGGAAGAACACAGATCCCCAGAGCACCGAGCTATGAAGCGTAAACTACCTGTCCGGGTAACTTACCCGGACGGGCGATTGATACATACCAGCCCAGGAGGGGTGTGGTGCCGAGGCGACAATCCCCAAATTTTTTGCCTTTGAAACTCTTTGCTCCGAAAGTGACACGGCGCCGAGGTAGGGGTGGGGGGGGGGGGGAAGGAGGTGGGAATGGGGGCAGATACCATGCATGACTCGATGCCACAAGTAAAACTCTGTAAAAGTTCTACAGTGCTCGCATTTTGCGCGCATTGTCGCTTTCCGCGTGCCCTCCGATCAGGAGAGGTGAGGAACGCTATATTTTGACCGATTGTTTCAACAGGCTCTTCCCAGTACAGTCAGAAAGGAATAGCACCTGCACGATTTCAAACCAATACTGTTTTTCTTTGCTCATGAGTACTCCTGAGATAATTCTAAACGATCTTCCTACAAATCTACTAACCCTCAAGTCGCAAAATTTGTCTTCTAAAAAACGCTTTTCATACTAGCTTGTATGGTATGTAATACTAGTATTCAAGTTTTTTTGGAAAGCTGCAACAATCACTCCTTTAGGCAATAAGTTCGTGAGAATCTAAATGCTGACGAGCCATCTAATATTCAATGATATTTCAGTAATTCTATCAGTTTTCAGAATTCAACTCCAATCGCCATGACTTATTGAAAAAACTAATACATGCTATAGATTGAATCAACGATAAATTTTTGGCAGTCATGCCAAAAGATAGCTCATCAGCTTCAAGCAAGAATTTTTACCAATGATCGGCAGACACTTTTTTTTGCATAGCAAAACATTGCTCAATCCAAAGTTTAGTATGGTAGCACGCATTCTGCTCACTGACAGAACTAGTCGGTTGTGCACTGTTACTACCTTGTATTCGTTGAACCAAGAAGTTCTTGCAAAAAATGTGAAAGAGCTCACTTATAGCTCTAAGGCTGCAAATAAGTACATTTTTTGAAAGTTTTTATTTTTTTGTAGATCCAAGAACTACTACGACAGGTCATGTTCATGGTGAAATTTCCAATAAAAGTTTCTGAAACTTAATTTCTGATACGCGTTATGTATAGCATAAGCCCCAGCAAATAATACACATGTTTTAACCTAGAATGCAATTTTTGACCGTGGATATCAGATAGAGCAAAGGGGAATGTACACTTGCATTGTCGTCCTCACAAGGTAAATAGGTGATAGCAAATACACGGAGCTCTAAGAACCAAGAGAAAACAGAAAGAAGATTACTTGACGTAAGCAATGCCTACAAAAAATTACTTTTCCTTTACGCAATGTACAGAGTAGGTATGAAAATGGTATTGAATTCTTAACTCAAGAATATTTTTAATAAGTGTGATGACAAGCGCGATAGCAGCATATTCCTTCTGTACCTCCAACTGCGAAACCAACAGACAAAACATGCATTTAGCTTGGGTACAAGTCATTAGGTTTTCAAAACTCTTTACTGTTCTTAGGATGTAATAGTGTAATTTGGAGAAGTTGAGACTTTATATGCGCTTTGGGTAGCAGGCCAAGTGACGGATAGGGAGCCAGTTGGGCCAATAATCCATTTTCCATTCACCATTTTGGCATTTGAGAAATTTCCAATCACGTTTTACTATCACTGTAAATGTTCAGTTCAATACACGGAAAAGTGGACACTTGGTGCAAACAAAATTCTGCACACAGATTGTACTTGCCTCTTAAACTAATATGCCATAGTGGGTGCGGGAAATTTCTAACCCTAGAAATTTTTCTTCTAATCCTCACTTAGGTGCTACATTCTCGCACTTAACAATAAGTGATGTACTGCCATGCACATTTGGACTCCCTATATTGAACTCTTTAGGATACCAAGGCAAAGCCCCCCTCCCCTTATCCAGTGTCGCTTCGGATACTGAAATTGAAGATTCAAAGAAAGTTTTAGAATCAAGTGGCATTGTTTTAATGAAAACCAAATTTCGGATTTACGGGTTTCGAGGCTGCTCTTTCCAGTAGTGAGAGCTATTTGTTGCAAAGTCAAGGTTTAACACTGAAAAATCCCAACGCAGATCAAAATTTAGATCTATGAGCTTTCGAAATTTCTTTTTCAAAACGAGATTAAAATTTAGGTTTACGGACTCTATTAAATTATGAACGAACTATTGGAAAAGATATACGCAGCATGAATTTGTATGGAAAGCAGTCTTGGAACCAAAATATGGTTGAATCAAAATAGATTGTTCTGTTTAAAGTAGCCCAAGTTAACTTCAAAATTCCGAAGTCGTGCAGCAGTTGCTTCTAATGATAGCCATATCTGCGTTCACGTTTGTGCAGAGGTTTGACAAAAACAGATCATTGAAAGTGTGAACAGAAAGCAGATCAGCATGCCTTGATCAATGGCCAGATTTATCAGGCAAACGAGGGGAGGAAAACAGTTGAGGCCAAGCTTTTTTCTAAATAGCAGAAAATCACTTTTCAAACATGTTATGATGTTTTCTGATAATCTGGTAAATTTTGATAGGCCCGTAGTAAATCCCCTTTCAGGGGATCTACCCTGAGGCGGACTTGAGTTGATCGTGGGGCGCCTCAGTCCAGCATCCGGCGAGCCACTGATCTAGATGCGGATCGCTTCTCAGGTATAAAAATCTTGCGCGCTATCAAAAAGGAAACACCTACTTTGATTGTGCAGGTTTGGTCAAAGGGATATGAGATTGCTACTCAGCCTGCACGACCGTGGTTCGGCGCCGGCCAGCGCCAAATTCTTGTGCATCACTGAGCAATCTTCGATAGCGGTCACTATCGAAGAAAATCGATGACGGCCGCTATCAAGGAATCCAAAACCAAAAGAATGCGCAAAACAAAACTGCGTTTTTTAAACCAAAATTTCATCAAAAATTGAGGAAGTAGGGACGAAATCGAATGGAAATAAATAAAGAGATTGTCCCTCTGGGTAGCTTTTGTAGAAAAAAACCTAAGCAAACTCTGCAAAAAGGAAAAAACTACTCTTCTGTTTTTGCCGAAATCAGCTGTTCATTGATCCTTTCCTTTTTGGGCACCGGTATTGTGCAGTTTTGCGCGTTCTTGTACTGCAACAATACGTCAAGTACGATGTCCCGTAAGTTACTCACGAGCAACTTACGAAATTTTTCTCTGCGTCTCATCCCTTGCACGCTATTTCGGTCAATTCATCTCAAAATCGAGGCTGCTCTTACGGATTTCAGGTGAATTCATCGCGACACATGCCCTGACGCTAACCCTTCAGATCAGGTCGCATTCTTAAGCATGTGAGAGTGACCGCTAGTCAGTTTATCTTAAATACCTCAACTCAGCCCCTCAGTTGAGATCATCTGAAGTGAAGTGAAGTTTACTATGGGCCATAGTCTGATGTTGCAATATGCAATAAACAATCTGATAGATTTTGATAGTCTGATGACTTCTTACAATTTGCAATAAACAAATTTCACTACTGAAAAAAGAGCAGCCTCGAAACCCCTAAATTCGAAATTTAGTCTTGATTGGACAAATTTCGCTACCGAATTTCGATTTTGAAACTTTCCTCCCCCCCCCTGCCATAGTCGATAACCATATCTATGAGGCTTGAGGCTAAATCTGATACTAATGAAATTTCTCACAGCTGTTGAAATATTTCAGAAACTTGGCTAGTAAGAGATTCCGAAGAAGACTTTTGCTCATCACAGCTACAAATGTGTTTTTATCGCAAAGTGCATAATGAAGTCTGAACATTTTATCACTTGACAAAAGCATCATCGGACTTTTATGCCGGAGATCACATTGGCGCAGGAATATAACAAATTTCCTTATTTCTGAGATTCTGTGCCGAACAGGTTTGTTCAGCGATGTTTTATTCTTCTTCCAATCACGGCCCTACGTTTCGACGCTTTCGTCTTCCTCAGATGCCTGAATGGTTCCAGGGTTATGTGCGATCCCAGCCCACCAAGCACCTCCTCCAAACCCGCCAGTTTTCGACATTCCCACAACCTCATAACCACACAAAACGTCAACGCAAGAGGACATACCGGAAGAGCACCGCCTTCCGAGAATAGTCTGCATCGGAAGTAGATGGTCGCGGCAGACGAATGGATTGTACCGTAGATACAAAAATGATCTACAGCTACAGATCACATAGCGTTACGAACGGGAGGAAGTCAGAAGTTATTGATAGACACTCGTTCTTATTGTTCACTAGCTGGCTTACCCGGCTCCGCCCGGCCCTGTCAAAACTCTATGATAAGGGTTCCATTCCTATCCTTGTACAACCCTTCCCTGTGCTCACTGCATGACATTTCCCTCCCGCTGTTTTAGTAATCAGCATGCCCACTTACCCCCCCCCCCCCCGTGCGCACTCCCAGCCCTAAAGAAATAAATAATACCAAAAACTAATATAGTATTCGTAATCAGCATTCTCGATTACCCCCTTCCCCTCCTGTGCCAACTCCCAGCCCTTCAACTCAAATCTTGAAAGAATAAATAAAAAGCGATAAAAGCAATAAATAATACCAAAAACTAATATTGTATCGTAATCAGCATGCTCGATTACCCCCCCCCCCCCCCTGTGCCAAACCCCCACCCCGCAGCTCGAACCTTGCAAAAGATCGATAAAATCGAAAGTAATGGATAATTTTGGAAACTAATATTGTATTCGGAATCCCCATGCTCGATTACCCCCCTATGCAAACTCCCAGCCCTCTAGGCTAAACTTTGCAAAAAAATCGATAAAATCAATAAAAGTAATCGATAATTTTGAAAAGTAATTTCGTATTCGTAATCAGCATGCTCGACTACCCCCCCCCCCCGTGCCAACTCCCAGCTCCGTAGGTGAAGTCTGCAAAAAAAGTCGATAAAAATCGATAAAATCGATATCGATCGATGACGAAAAGTAGCTTATGACACCCGCCGGGCCCGAAGTGTATGCGTGCCAAGCTTGGTCCGGATCGGTTCAGAAATGGAATTTTCTATTCGGAACATACGTACAGACATACATACAGACAGACAGAGAGGCAAACAGAAACAGACATTCAGCTTTATATATAAGACTAGCGACCCTACGGATCGCTAGTAGGTGGGTGCGGGCAGATACATTGATATCTGCCATTAATAAGTAAAAATCCCAAGAAAGAAAATTTCCATCTTCCCAGCGACCTTTCGCGTGATGTGAGTAGTAGAAACAAAACACTATGCTCTTAGGAGAAGAAGCTACTACCAATGACTATTCGCAGAGCATCTTTGCTGTTCCTCTTGCAGATACCTTCGCCCAAATACCACAGCTCTTAAACAAGGAAGCTACCTCCAATCACCTGTTTAGAACAGCTGATTCATCCCGAAACTCATATTGATTTCCAGGAAAGTGCCAAGTTAAAGAAAGCGTCAAGTTATGTCTTCCAGCAGCCGAAAACTCATATGTATTATAGATAAAAACGAAGCGGCATTTTCTTTGATGATGTCTTGCCAGTGAACGGACTCATTTCTTAGAATAGACTAAAGTTGGCCCAACGCCTTCTTTTGAAGGACAATCTTACCGAAACTGTTCCTATCGCACAAAACCCTAGGTCTTTTCTTCCCTCGAAACCAAGCTCCTTATGCTTCCGCTTTCAAGGGCAGAAGTATGGTTGAGAAGAAGGAGCCGTAATTTTTCCAGCAGGTCTCTATATAATTAAATATTGACACGTAAAAATTTTTAGCGCAAATATCTTGCTGCCTGATTCCTGAGTCTTTTCTTCCCTCGAGACCAAGCTCCCTGTTTTTTTGCTTCTAGGGACAAAAACGTGCTTTTGCGAAGATCAAAAGGCCAAAATGTTCAGGGAAGATAATTTCTTGTCCCAAGAAGCTCGTGTTTCCGTCTTACCCTCGAGACCACTATTCTGCCTTCAGAGGCAGAAATCTGGTTTTTGCAGAGTAGAATGGACACAAGTGAATTTCAAACAAGTTTCTGTAGAATAAACATTCACACACAGAAATTTTCAGCAAAAGTATCTTGCTGGCTGAGCTTATGAGTCTCTTCCCCTCGGGACCAAGCTGTCTGTGCTGTTTTGCTTTTAGGGGTAGAAGTATGGGTTTTGCAGAGTAGTGGCCACGAATTTCAGACAAGTTTCTGTATAATAGAACATCGACACCCAGAAACTTCTGGCGAAAATATCTTGCTGCCTGAGGCCATAATTCTTTCTTCCCTCGAGACCAAGCTCCTTGTGCTTTTTTGCTTTTAGGGTCTGAAGTGTGGTTTTTAAGTTTTGTGGTTTTTGCGAAGTTTGGGAGTCAAACGTCTTAGCGAAAATGTCCTGTTGGATACAACTCATGGGTTTGTCCTTCCCTAAAGACTAAATTTCTTGTGCTTTTTTGCTTTTAGGGGCAGAAGAACTGGTTTTTGCGAAAAGGGGGTGAACGCCTTAGCGAAAGTGTTTGCCGCATGAAGCTCATGGTTCTGTCTTTTTCTCGAAGCCAAGCTATCTGTGCTGCTTTGCTTTTAGAGGGAGAAGTGTGGTTTTTGCAAAGTATTAGGTCGTTTCAAAAGTAATTTCGCTTTTTTCAAACGTGCACCATATATGATGGAACAAACGTTTCTAAGAGATCTTGGCAGCCTTCGATGCAGAATTCCATTCTCTTTCTAAGGATCATGAAATTGTTGCA